CCTCCCCCCCCCAAAAAAAAATTCTTTTCGCGCAGACTTCAGCACAATTAGAAATTTGACCTCGGAAGAGGTTTATTTTTCGCTCTTCGGATGCAAGTGTGCAGATCGATGTTTTTTTAAAATATATTTCCCTATTGATGGGAATTTTTTCTTTCATTTCCGCTTAGGTCATGTTTTTATAAATTTAAAATTAAGGGAGAAATCCATCCAGGTTGTTTTTTCTTATGGAGAAGCCGTTGGGAGAACGCAAAATCGGCTGAACGAAATTTGGCAGAACTGCACGATGCGATGCAATCCAAAATGCAACGGACGAATCGAAAGTTTTTGCCAATTAGGAGTTTGATAATTGGCTTAAATGGGTCCAGGCCGACGGTCAGACAAGAGCGTTCATGGGTCAAGCAAGGGTTTCCTAGGCAAAACATGGCATGAAAGGAGGAAAAGCTGTACTACCACAAAAACTGTCTAAAACCAATTATAGGAAACTTTATGAGCACCGAAAGGTTCTTGTAACGCGAGTGGCTAGGCGAGTGCCTCCCCTGCTTTCTCCATCCTTTACATACTGGAAGGCTGTGAGCTATTCTCGTTCGACTCCGCGACTGGTTCTATGAGATATCGCTCAGTTGCGGGGAGTGGACGGATCGCATCCCGATCCTTGAGATTGACTATTAGGACTATCTTCTGTATATAAGGGGCCTGACAAGATATCGCATGGAATGTAGCGCGGTTTCTACCAGATGATTATTTCTGTATCTTTTACGACTTCCAAGAACAGAAATGCAGTAAAAAAGGGAATCACGGATTTTATTACGAGGCTTTATCGAGAGAACGACTGGCTTTCCTCAATACGTCGGTTTCGTTAGCAAATTAATGGCTCCAATAGCTAAGACTAGATAGGAGAGGAGACAATTATTAATAGGCTTTTAATGTCCAGTGGGCTTAGAAGAAGCGGAGGCAAAAAAATAAAAAAATCAAATTAAATAAAAACAGAAGAAAGACAACGGATAGAATTCCTGAGGGAAGCCTTCCTTGGCTCGAGAATCTGCCTGAACCTGTTCCTGGCGTGCTTCCATAATATGAACCGCCGAGTGGGTCCAGTAGTAGGATCGGCTAGAGCAGAATTTCCAGCCAACGCTCAAGCGACTACCATGCACCCTTAAAACGCAGTGAGCAGCTAAGGTGCGCTGCCACCATGTTAGCCGATGCTTCAGACCGCGGGCCGTTATACCATGTAACCACCATGTAACCTTGATGTTCGGTATCATAGTACATGTAAAAGAACGTCTTTTTTTCCTTGTCAGATGACAATACACGTATGCAATAAATGGCCACCAATTCTGTATATGGTGTCTTTTTCTCATATCACCCGTAGAATGACCACGTTAGATTCAACTCACAGAAAGAGATCAAGTCAAAGCAAAGAAATGGCAACGCGAACTCGGAACGAACATACACACATAGATTCAAAGGTCAGAGCATGACAGGACATGACCATTCCTCCAACGCATAAATAATTTAATTTCACTGTTTCTTGCCGCAAACGAGTATGTTCTCTTGCGGAGGGGCTCTGTGGACGCAGCCAATGTGGGTGCTGGCGTTCCCCTTCTGCGAGAAGGTTTTCCCGCACAAGCGACACTGGTAGGGCTTCTCTCCCGTGTGGCTCCGAGTGTGGATGTCCATCTGAGCCCGATTGTTGTTCTGGTATGCACAGATCCCACAAAAGTAAGTCCAGATGCCTCTGATGCCACTGTGTCCTCGCCAGGCCAGACGACCCACGGATTGGATGCTCTGGAAACACACGTACAGCACACGATATTTTTTACGCATGTTTTTCGTGCAGGACTGGAACAGATGGCTTTCAACTACTGGATGAAATGTGCAAAACATCTTATGAAATGGCTCCAGAATGTCAATTCCTTTCTTGGCTTTTGGCAGATGATTAATGGCCCTAATGGAAGCCCAGCATAGAAACTTTTCATACAATTCACCAGGATTTTTATGCATCAGGAAGTTCAATTCAAGAGAGCAATGAAGATGAATTCATCGATGAGCCAAACAATGCGAACCACATGAGAGACATGCCAAAAGATATACCGCAAGAAAGGTGTAAGTTCCATGAAGAGGAAATTCATTTTCATGCACTTCAGTGGAGGAAAGAAAGGCAGAAACCCAAAGACACGAGAACAAACATCACACACACTTCTTGGAGCCTCTAAAAGAATTTTGATTTAATTCCGTGTCGAAACTCGTCTATCTGGCAAAATGAACCAAGGCAATGTGAGAATTGAGGTGGCTGCTCTGAGCAAAGCTCTTCCCACAAAGGGAACAAGCAAAGGGCTTCTCTCCCGTGTGGACCCGATAGTGCTTCCGCACGTCCCCCTTAAATTGGGATGCGTAACCACACACACCACAGAAGTACATCCTCAAGTGAGCAGCTGTCCCAGTCCACATGCCACTCTCAACTTGCTGGATGCTCTAGCAAAGAGAAATGCAATTTTGAATACTTTCACAGACAGAAAGACAGGCAGAGAGCTGCTGATACGTAATCAGTGATAGTATTTCCTATCCCGATCTAACACCAGAAATGATAATTGAGAGTTTTTTCAGAGTAAATAATCAGTATTAGCACAAGATTTCACTAATCACATCAATTAATCACATTCCATAAGCCTGTTCACTTTTTTAGAGAAAAACCTCATAATAGCTGAAAGCATGAGGCATACCTTACAAGAAATTGCAAAGAATTATTCATAAAAAATACAATTTCATCTTTGGGTGTCACTTGACTGATGCAATGAAAATCCATCTCTTTAATGGGTAATTTTTCCCCCTTATACAATGCTTGTATTAATCCTTGAAATTAGACCCACAATGAGTAATTTTCAAGAACATGAATGGAACAAGAACAGGAAGGAGATTTGCAAGGGTGAAGGATTCTCCTCTTTGCCCTTGGCCACATCCAATCATTTTTTATCCCCACCTTGAGATATGGAAAAGGAGTTTGAATTTTTAAATATAATTGATAGCCACAAAACAAGAGAGTAAAAATGCCTTTACAACTTTCATGGTGGCTCCATTAATACTTCAGGCACAAGAAACAATACTGAAAGCAAGTGAAAGGGAGTGCACATAACACAAGCAGTTTCAGCGTGCAATGTGCACAAGGATAGGTGACTTGATGGTGAAACTCTTGCCCTAGAAGTTACAGCTTAAAGGCCATTCACCATTGTACTGACACTAGTGGACCACGAGTGACTTTCAGGCAAACTGGTATGGATAGCATGAGCAGAAAATTGCTTTTAATTAACACCTGGCTGATGGCCACTCTAAACATCTTGTGTCTATGATCACAGTGAAGCACTACAGTTATGCATGTGTTTTAAAGAAGTTGATGAAATGCTCCAAGGTCACAGCATTATGGGAATCACATCAATATGGTCATTGGCAGTAGAGGACGCATTGGGAAACACCTTTTTGAAGAAGGAATGTCAAAACTGTGCCTGATCTAAACTGGAAAATGGCATAGATCAATGCTTACAGGTTATAAATATTTACTTAATAAAAATCCCTTTCCTGGACACAATTCAACAAAGTCAAATGATTCACACAACCCCTTTTCTAAGTGACAACTTAACCATTTGATGAAAAACAGCTCGTGATTTAGATAATTCGCAATCACATTGCAAGTTCAATTGATAGAGAATTAAGTCCAGATATTGCCTCCACTAAAAAATTTCCCACCAACATAGGGATTTTAGTTGGTTTGACAGAGCACACGGGCAACAACACCCGACATGGCATTGCTGCCGTAAAAAAATGAGAACATCTTGCAGCACAATTTCATGGACCAATCCTCCCTCCATCCTTCTCCTTTCCCAACGTCTGCATCTTCACTGATAGCACCAATCACGTCATTGGGTCACACGAAGGATACAGATTGCATCCAATCACAAGGAGGCAATGAAGGGCATCCCAATGGTATTGCCTTGAGGTTACTAAGTGTTCTGTTGCATCAAAACAGACGTGTCATTTCCTTCACACCTGACTATCTCCCTCAAACGATGAGGTGAACATACATTACTTGTGATTGAGAAATTTGCCTCATGGTCAAACTCCACACCTCCATTTTTCAAATTTCTTGATCATGCACATCCAATAGTCCCTCATTACTCTGCATTCCCATGACATGGGCCTCAGCGCTAATGCATCACAATTTACCTAACGCAAGGAAGCTAGGAGGCCATATATCAGGAACACACCTGTCCTAAGCATTTGTATAAAGACATCATTCATGTATTTCACCACCATATTCATATAAAAGTTGCATTGAAACTCCTGGACTGAGCCAAAATAAACTCAGCAATTCATTAGCAATGAAAGGAAGTTCCAGTTAACATTGAGCTAGATGGGGAACACTTAGAAATTTTGCTATAATTACTTATGAACTGGCTCATATAAAGGTAAACTTTACAGAAGTGGAGCACAACTGTCTATTCAGACAACAAATTGTAACATTTTAACTCATTGGGTTTTGTCTTTGCTTACTTTGGGGTACATGATTTTTCAGACATGTTCGTGACTTCTCCTAAGCTATCCTTGGTGGATTACTTTGGTCATCCTGGAACAACATGGTGTCATATATCAGGTATTACGTGAGTTTGCAATGAGAGAGCTCCACATGGCCAGTTATGTATCAATGTTTGCACAAGGCCTATTCATGAAGATCCAAGCAGTAATTGGAAGGTTATGGGTTCTGGACATTTCCTTTGTCCTCATCTGGGATACACATCATATGCAGATGTGCAGGTACACTTGCACACATGAACAGCAATATAACTATGCAAATTTACATTTGGAAGCATCCAGTGACACTAAATAGCCTGGTCTTCAAGCATACATTGCACTAGGTATAGCAATAGCTGAGTGTTTGGATAACACCTCACAAGGCCAACACCAGTGAAAGAAAAACCTGCAGGTTAGTCAAAGGAACACCATGATCAGAGTCAAAATCTTTCCTCAACCAGAGCAACAGTCTGGAATGTGCCCATGATATATGGACTAAACAGCACCATGACCACACAATTGAATTTAGCCTGGTTCCCCACACAAATTCTGATCTAGTTCACCTCTGATGTGCCATGAAGGAATAAAACCAATTGGTCTACCCAAAACAAATATGGAACCATTGTGAGCTACTGATATTGAGAGACACAGATGACAAAAGGAACTAAATAAGTAACGTAAAGTAATTGGGGGAAATAACGCAGAAAAGCATTCAAATCGTGCAAATTGAATCCATAGGGAGAATGACTAGGCATGACATAATGCAAAATGCTGAATAGAAGGCATTAACAGAGTGTTTCTACTTGCTTCAGATCAAATGATGGAAAATGCAATGCCAGCATACTGACCTCAGGTGCAATATCAGGAGGAATATTGGGCGGGACTTCATTCGGATCAAACTCTTCTCTTTCTCCTTCCATCTGATACGAGTTCTGACTGTCGTCGCCTTCTGCTGCCGACATCCCGCTGTCTCTCGCCCAGTAACACTGGAGATCTTCCTGCTCAAGATCGTCCATTTCTTTCATAAAGCAGTCGTTTCATGAATTCAAAACCTAAAGGGGTAAGAAGATTGGACTAACTTGATCTGCCTCTATCTCCTCAATTTCATTCTCTTCTGTCTTCACATGTGTCTCTGGTAGGCATTCCTCATTGTCCAATGCCTGATGGAAACAAAGGACTCTCCTTAAGCTTTTTACAAACCACTATATTTGTAGAAATGCAGCTCTATGACACAAGGAGGCTGATGCAATCTAACAAGAGTCCATTTTGTTCATAGTTGAGATGCGAAACAACTGGAATAACAAACCAAAACAGGAAAGTTGGATGATTTTGTCATGCAGCCTACCTGATTTATCACATCAGAGGTAGCAACATCTGGTCTCTGCCTCTTCTCAGGTGTAGGCGAGAACAATGGTGAGGTCTTCACAGCTTGCACCCCTGCTGTACTGTTCATCCCGACCGGAAGCCTGCGTTTGACCGGAGTCAAGTAACTCGGAACGGAAGAGGCGGCGTTTGGTGAAGCATTGACACCCAGAGGCCTGGAACTCAGGGATGGAGCAAGACTTGAAATTTGGTGCCTGCTGTATGGAGGAAATTCGCTCCTTCCCACAATGTTCTCGGCAGCACTAATTTCATCGGTTTTCTTGGATCGATCTCCTTTGAGCCCCTTCACCTCCAGACTGTCGGCCAGGGCGATGAATCGCTCCAGTTCGCTCGAGGGCACGTCCACTTCACCCAGATACATAAAATCCACCAGGAGTCTGAGGTGCAACGCGTCGATCCCGTGGAAATGGACCACCGAGAAGCCGCTGGTGTCGCGCTGGAGCAGCTTCTCGAAGAAAGCGCTTCCTGCGCACAGAACTAACTTGTGAGCCTTGATCGTTTGCCCACCGCAGGACAGGGTGATGTCCACCAGAACCTCCCTGTTGCGTAACAACTCGAAGTTTCCAAATCCCTCTGCGTGGTGGGAATTCCACTTCAGGTTATACTTGTTACTCATTATTGCAGAACAATGCACAAAAAACCTATGATGGTGAAACAAATGATGCACATAGCCACCAACAGCCATAGGCCTATTCTAACAACTAATTTTGTAGAGTCCCATGCACTGAGCATAATGGAAGGTAGGGCATTCTCTCCTGTGACACGAAGAACACAATGCAGCCTGGGAATTGGATGGTCTTTCCATTCTATAACATGCAACATATTATGTCTCGATATAAGCCTCTGGCCAAGACTTGAACTTAACTCATAATGACTTGAACACGGTTGAAGAACGCCTATAAGTTACATTCTCCATGACTTCACTTTCTAGGCCCACTACAAATTCAAGATATATCAAAATCATACACGACTAGGACTTTCCTAGCATCATTTGCCTTGCTCATACGTAGCTGGCATCTCAGCAGAAATCGGAGACAGAAAAGTGACAGGACGGAAGACTAGTTGGGCCTAAGGCCCGCGCGCGACTGAGCCTCCCTCCTCCCATCACACCCCCCCACGGATCCAGCTCTGACGTTCGAGGACCGACAAACGACGAGCGCACGGACCGACATCCCTTCCTGAGCGAACGACCTCCCGCTTCACGACTCGACGATGCGGCCCGCGAAGCGTGCAAAACGGATCAAAAGGGTAGGAGGAAAGGCCAAAACGAAGATGCACCCTTCAACGCGACGACAGAGCAGAGGAAAAAAAAAAAACCTCAGACACAACCAGCAGATGAAAGTTAAGACCCCGAAAGAGCCCTACTCAAGAACCCACCAGAGCAAAGGGCGGCGCCATATTCCATCATCTCTTCCCCCCCCCCCCCCCCCCACGCCCCCCCCCGCCCCCCCCCCCCCCGCNCCCCCCCCCCCCCCCCCCCCCCCCCCCCCCCCCCCCCCCCTTTTCCAACCTCCCTTTAGACAGTGGAGAAGCTGAAACAGTACTCCCTGCGGATCCGCTTGAAGAGGCGATCCACAAAACCTCCCTCTTCGAAGGAGTCACTGTCTGCAATCGGTGGATCCTTTGGGCAGTGTTACGAATTCAACAACGCAGTCATTTCCAAATAGATTCCAAGGGGCATTTTTTTTTTAATTTCGACGGACTTCCCCTCTCGCTTTCACGTGCTCCAAATTAGAGCCCGACCGGGCCCAATGAGGGCTCTACGTCGTCGCCCGTTCCTAAGAAATTTTTTTTTCTGTCTTCGGGGCAAAGAAGAGTCGGGTGACTCTCGTTTTCATCAGACTTTCGTTTTCATCAGCGCATCGGCTCAGATTTTCTTCGTCGTGCGAGGATGAAAGTTGATCCCCTTTCATCGCCCTTTCCTCGCCCTTTCATCAACGATTCCCGGAATCCGTCAGCCTTGCGACTGTTTTGAGTTTCGTGCTCCGAAGATGACCGACAACTCCCACCGCACGGTCAGGGGAGGCGTCGGAAGGTCGACCGGTCGTCTGGAAGGACGGTCGGAGGAGCCATCCGCGGTTTCCCGCGGTTTTCCCGCGGCGGACGGTCGCGGCGGCGTCAGAACTCAGAAGTTTCCTATATTACTTTCTTTTTCGTCTGGTTTTTGATCCAGGCATTTTCGCTTTCCCAGTTTTATTCTTAAAAGTGAATAGTAATAAATTCGTAGTGCCTAATACCACAGCTTCAAATGTCACGTGACTCACCGGTACAAGACAGGTTTCTGCCTTTTGACCAAAAAAAAACGACAGATTCGCGTCGTTCGATTCATTCGCGTTCACTTTCCTCAATGACCGGAAAGCTACCCTCCGATCGGGCCACGAAGGTCGGCGGGCAGCCGGGAAAATCCCCGTACTCCTTGTAAGCGGGGCCGTAAAAGTTGTCCAGCGGAGGGCTCTAGCGCGCACCGCGGGACAACTTTTCCGGACCCGCGGAGGACTCTAGCGCGCTCGTCTGCCTCGGGGCACCGCGTCTCCAGTCGGGTCCCGAGCCTGCCCGAGGATGCACGGAGCGTTTTCCCCGTCCCGTTCTTCCCTGCAACGCCTCGAGTGTTCGTAGAGGACGCGTTCCGGTGACAAGTGACGAAAGTGGTGACAAGTGATGAAAGTTCGATGCCGCGATCACCGTGCATCTTCTCGCACCTTGCAGTGCACCAACCTCGCGTCGAGGGCCAGGGCGACCCAGGGCCACCCTGGGCCACCCTGGACCCCGGTAGAAAAATGCTTGGACCCCGTGAACTCCTTCCCCTGGTTTTTGCCTGTGAGCGAACTCCACGATTTCCTTCTTCTCCCGCCACTCTCACGATTAGCCGCGTGCAATGTTCGGGTGAGGACGTTCGGCCTGAAAGTGACCGTCGAAGCCTGTTTCCCGATTGGAATTCCTAAAATTACTGCCTCGTCCAGTTCCGTCCTCAGAGATGATGAAAAAATCCAACGGACCAACGTGGCCCATGGGACCAACGTGGACCATGGGATCCACTCGGTAGCCAACATGCGAAATGAAGAATTGAGATTCCGGCACTTCATCGCGTGGCATCATATGAATCCTTTTCCTTCCCAGTGGGTGGTGGCGTATTCCGGTCCTTGGGCCAAGGGAAAAGGACAGAGGAAATAAGGTGGGGGGTGGAGGTCGGTCCTCAGAAGCGAAAAGTTTCTCTGACGAGGCTGCAAGCGTTTTTCGCGGCAGCCAGGGCCGGCGCCCGTTGCCCTTCCCCTCCTCAAACATTCTACCTTTCGTCGTGATTCCAAGGAAGATATCCGAAAGGGAAAGATAAAAGGGGGGGCTGGGGGGGCGGTTGGGACTGGTTCGGCATTCCATCACTCCGCTCCACGGATCAAGAAGAAACGCTGAAGACCTCGAAATTGGTATCACGACAGGACATCGACATGCCAAATAATTTTTCTAATTTTTTTTTTGGAGGTCGCTAATGTTAAACTCCCGAATGGCCTTGCTGCGATCAATCAAAATGACGACCGGAAGACAGGTCGTGGCTTTAGCAAGCCCCTCGGGGCCAATCATCCTTCTATCCGGAAGTTCATCGATTGCATCCAGGTAATCGATTGCATCGATTGCATCCAGGTAATCGATTGCATCGATTGCATCCAGGTAATCGATTGCATCGATTGCATCCAGGTAATCGATTGCATCGATTACCTGGATCGATACCTTATTCTCTGTTCTTTTAATTTCGCCGCTCTTGACGTTGTTTTGAATTCCTTTTGTTTTGATGTGTAGGTGTCAATAAAATGGTAAAATTTCGGTACTTTCATTAAAAGGTTTTACATTTTTCTCTTCAGTTGAAAAATCTCAGCTTTGCCATATATATCCACTGATCCACGAAACCTGCCCACGTGCTTGCTTTTTTTTTTATTCATTTCAACCGCCTTTGATAAGAACGTATTGCGACCGAGCAAATACATATTATGGACGAACGATTAATATGATTGGATTCATAGACGATCGCAGCAAGGCCCGAGGAAGTGATTAACGACCTGAGATGAGAAATCCGAGAAAAATTAATTGGCGTGTCTCATTCCGTCGATGCTTCGAGATGGAACCGCAGTTTCGAAGTGAAACCGATGTCCTTTGTCCTTTGCTGAACTCTTGGAGACTCGATCATACCAGGGCAATTGCTTCAGTTCTCCCAAGGGCTTGAGGCCTTTCTTTACGGAAAATTCCGCGCTGCTGATGTGTGCGTATTTTGCATTTTCTACGTATTTTTCGAAGGTGACTCGGGTTCATCATAGTGTTACGTGAAAATATTTCCCTGATTTTTCCAGTTCGGCGAGATGATGGAGCGACTTGGTGAATCCGGTGCGCATGTGGTGGGTGGTTGCCCGATGTTGCCCTTCGTTCTCTGGACGGTTGCCCGATGTTGCCCTTCGCGTTTCTGCATCGTTCCCGCCGCTGATTGACTCAGACCCGCGACTCCTTCGGAAAAGAACGATTTTGGGGAAAATGCGGAACAACTCCTACATTTCGCTTCATGCAGGAGACTTCTGCAGCACGGTGCAGTTTCCTTCGCGGTTAGTGGGAAGTTTCGGGAGGTCTCGTATGCAGGAAATGGCAAATGAAATGGCATTTGCCATTTCAGCAGGAATTTACTCTCTTTCAGATGGAAGTTTTTCCTCGCGGCGTCAATTTACTAGCTAATTTCTCATGGCAGCAAGCAAAATCCAGATGTGAAATTTTAATTGGGAGTTTTCTGCACAATCATTTTCTTTTGAAATTTCTTTTTGAAATTTCCAGTAAGATTATTTTTAAAAGTGGACCCTTTACAAATATATTTCTTATTTAAAAATTCAAATTTCCTTCAATTTCCTGGTTCTGTTGAAAAAAAAAAACATATATGTAGTAGCCAATGCCAATTTCAACCACCGGTTTTCAGCCTTGTGGGAATGAACTCATGACCAAAAAATATCTCGACTAAGGAATTGAAATCCATTGAAGTTTTTAGCGCGTGGGATGAATTCAGGGCGAAAATTTGCCGAAAAATCTCTTTTTTATCGCGGCTGCGGGGTCGTGCCGAGAAGATTTTTGCGATGAATATTTGCAGGGAAATTACTGAAGATGAGAAGAAAAGTCGAAGTTTCGAGGTCGGGAGAAGAGGCAATTTGGGGGAAACATCCTAACTACGAGGCAGGTTTACTTTTGGCCTGAAGCTTCCTGTGTTGTTTAGTGTCAATTAGATGGGAGGCCTCGTGAATTATTTCATGCAAATATTTTTGCGCTTTTTAGAACCCACGACAGTAGAGGGAGTCGAGAAACGTTCGGTCCTGCCGAAAGTGTCATTGAAAATCCCCCTCCGCACGGACGAGGAGGGAAGGATCTCCACCATATCGCCGGTTCCGCTCCACTTCAGTCTTTCGAGTTCTCCTCTGGCCTTGGCGTGAGTATTCCGTCCTTTGTCTACTCGTAGGAACTTCCTCGAGGGAGGGGTTGGGGGCCTGTAACACTGAATGAATTGTTTTCGCAATCTTTTGTGCTTTTAAACAGTAGGGAAAGAGAGTAAACGTTTTTTTTTTTGCAATCGTGAATGATTTCTATGAGCGCAACTCGTGGCGCCCATTGGAAATGACATATTCGAAACAGTTTGCTGGCAAATA